AAGGGATTTGAGAATTGGCTCTCTAAGCCGTTCTCTGACTCTCACACATGTATCATGCACATGTGTACTCCCTTCATAAAGAAATAAATTGTACTTTTAAAAAAACTAGGAAAACTCGGTGGATAAAGCAGCTTGCTTTGTCCTTTGACTATTTGTTATTAGATCCAACAACTTGAGTTTGATTCCCAAAATCCACATGGTAGATGGAGCGCTCCTTCAAGTAGCCCTCTGATCACCATATAGGTTCTGTGATACATATTAGCCCCACGCTACAAACCACAAGAGTCAATCAATCAATCAATCAATAAATCAACCAAATGTGATTCTTAAAAAATAATTGAACAAAGACTATATTCTGGAGTGCAGTGGATAAGAGGGGAGAGGCCTGGGTGAGGAAAAAGGCAGACAGGGTTCACACAATGCAGGAAAGACTGGTAGGGACCAGCATGCTGATACAAATTGGCAAAGCTCGAAAGAGAACACAGAGGCCATGAGATGCCGACAGAGGAACTGTCTGGTAGAGTTCTGCAGCCTAGTAGCACAAGCAGACTGTTTTCCACCTGGCCTCCTCTGCCCCAGCCTGAAGGGCATGCACTCAGCTGTTTGGATGTCTCCTTCAGCAATGACAGCTGGGATTGTCTCCTACCATTGAGGCTGAGGCTTCTTCCACATTTTATCTCTTATTTGAATTTCAGCACCTCTGAGTTCTAAGTATCTCATTCAGTTCCCACATGCTCCCTAGGAAAGCCAAACTCCACTTAAACTAAGTTAGTCCTTTGACTATCCCATACAAGTAAAGAAATACATTCTGATTACTCACTCAGCCTATTCTTTCCCATCTCAGCCCTCCCATCTCAGCCCCCTTCTCCAACAAGTTCCCTTCCAGGATTCATGCCATCTGGGTTGATTTTATGACCCATTTAGTTTTACCAGGGCCATGTGTGTGTTCATTCGATTGAAACTGCAATAGCCCTTCTTCCCCTTAACTTATCGCTATCAACAAACAGTTTTGCAGCGAGAGTTAGCTACCCACCACCCTCCTCCATCCATGCCTGGTTCTTGATGGGTCCATTCCTGTGCAGGCCCAGTGAAAGCACACGCAGTTGCTGTGGTTTTCTGATTGTAATGACTGTCTCTTGCCCAGATTGCGTGTCACACCCCTTCTCCCCATCCTTGGGCTCTTACACTCTTTCTGCCCCTTCTTCTACACTAAAAGCTCTTCTACAGCACTGCTTTTGAGCACTTGAAGCTTTCCTTTCCCAAACGCTGCTCAAGTTTGATAGGGGAGTTCAGCCAATCACATTCTGTTTGGGGGGCGTGCCGCCCTCAGGCTAAAGCCTGCCTATAAACCTAGCAAGCACGCTCCACTAGCTCTCTTTTCGCCTGACTCCTGTGTCCGGACAGATCATTTGGATTCTGGTGTAAGCTGTTGTAAGTCTTATTTCTGTTTATTAAAGCTGTATATTTTATATCAAGATAGTCTGGGGACTTTTCATTACCAATCGCCTGCGGCTTCACAAGTTGACCCCATCTCCAAGCTTCCAAAGATCAGCTCTGTCTAATCATTCTGCAGTGTCTCCCTTACTTCTCAAGTTTTTTAAAAATCGTCAGAACCCAAAGTTAAATTGATCATCTTTGCACCTTTGTTTTCTATGCCCTTCCTTTCAAAGTCCGAATTCTTTGTTTCCAAACAAGAGCAATGTTTATTTATATGCTCTTGCTGTTCTTCTCTCTGCAGCTCTGAGCAGGTCTATTACCAGGACAGGACTGTGCTCTGGAAAGGAATTTGGAAAGTTCTGGAATCTCTCATGCTTGAAACAACTCTAGTAGCATTGTGCTGCCCCTCAATATGATGGTATAATGTATCCAGGAGTCTTGTTGAAGTTTAGAGGCAGCAGAAAGGGACTTTTGATTTGGCACCCAGTTCCTCATTTCAGGCTGGTATAGCATCAGGATATGACTAAAAGCCTACAATCAGAACTTTCTCCCAAGTTTAGTCTAAGGTTCACCTTTGTTACTTTGTAACTACCTAACAGACATTGGTAGAGAAAGAAGTCAAAGTCTGATGGAGATGAGGGTGTCTTCTTACTATGAGCTAAGACAACTTCAGAGAAATCTGTATTCACTGTAGATCTATCTTAGTTTGACCCACCTGGAAAAGATTCTTGCTCATCCCATTCCATTCTTTTTTACCAATTACAGATTTCTTTTGAGAGCCCTCCCTGAATAGGGCACTAAAACACACTTCTAAATTCTTGCCCCGGGGCTCTACTTCTAGAGATCGTAGGGAGACACAAATTAGAGTTACTGAGTATATAAAATAGCAGGTAATGGTTTTAGGGTCAATTCAGAGTGACCTCAAATGCGTAGTTAGAACTGAAATACATGATAATTGTCTGGCTCTATGGGATTCATAAAGATGACCACGGACAACAGCTAGAGAACCCAAGGTCACGAACAAGACAGAAGCAAGTTACTTTGTCACCAGAGTGTTGGCCTGTGTCTGGCACGTGATTTCCCTCCAGATATGGAATGTCTGTCAGCAGAACCCCAAGGAAGGCTACCAAAATGGCTGAAGGGTTGTGATACTTAAAGAGATGGTGATGACATCGTTCTAGGACTTTATAATTACCAGATTCCTGGAGAATGCCCAGCATCAAATTCCCCCCTGCAAAAACATTATTTATAGCAAAATTCCACCAAAAAGAAATTTCACATAGGTAGTAGAAAAGGAATGAGAGGAGTCACGCATCTTTCTCATTTCAGTGCCTTACGGGCGATATGCAGATTCAGGCAGCCTTTGCTTTTGATTGACCCTAGGATGTTCCAAGTGTTGTGACTGATATGGAATAGACCCAGCATGAATCTCCTTCAATTATCCCTACTGTTGTATTTCTCAAGAATCCTTTTCCTCTAAGGCTGTATTGATAAGGGATGGCTCCCTGGGCAATGACAGGATTCTGTGTTAGGTAGTTCTCTACCCTTCTCCCAAGTGGTAATGGCGTCTCTGGGAAGAAACTATTGAATCTCAATGTACTACAGAAACAGGATGAAGATACTGGAAATGCCCCTAAAAGCATCGTCTGGGCTTAATCAGCTAGGGATTCCCACACTCATTCATGCATCCCTACAATTTCACACACTCACCCTTTACCTGTGCTACTAAAGAAAGCTAGCCTAAGGTCAATACAGAGGAGACACAGTAACGCCACGGAAAGACAGACAGCATGTCTGTTCTAGTTCTTCTAATATCATTGCCATTCTCCATTTGCTGAGCAATGTGTCTTTGGAGAAGCAGTATACTAGACTTCAATACATCTGAGGACTATGGCCCTGAGACTGGTGGGAAAGCACCGTCTTATATATTGTCCCATTGTCCTTCTATGTACCCATTGCCTCTCAAGTCACATGCTCCCGATTCTCAGGTAAAACAGACCTAGTAAAGGAGTCTTTGAAGGGACCAAGGTCTCAGTGTTTCCTAGAACCCACAGCAGGAAGAGGAATCATCTTGACCTCCTCCTTGGGTAGAGTGAGAAAACACTGGGAAGCCGTGAGACATTACCATTGAAAAGAAGTTTTCTCTCTCCTCTTGGACTACCTATTGAAGTGGGATGCTGCAGACACCCAGCTTCCCGATTTCTGTCCAGAGCCCAGTGCTACCCAATTGATGATGCTCTTCCTTCTACAGTATCTGTTTTCTTCAGTGGCAAAGCCTGCCAAGGTCTGTGATTTGTGCCACTTTTGTCTGCAGGCCATCAATTCTCCCAGCCTCAAGAAGACTATTTTATCTCTTTCCACAGAGTCATTTGAGTTCCTCAGAGGGAACAAGTTAGGGACATGCCAGCTCAGATACTTCTTATCACCAAGAGTCACAATGTTCCATCTTCTTCCTGTACCATCCATTGGCTGCCTACATATGCAGCTGAATTCTTAGAATTTAGAAAACTTCTAAGAGACCTCGGAGCATGCTTTGATAGCTATATATCTACCCCGCCCATTTCTTTCTTTCTCTATGTCTCTCTCTATGTCCTCTTTCTCATTCAATGTCTCTCTCTTCTACCTGTACGTATGTGACTCCTCTGTTCATACACATGTGAAAATATTCAAATATATGCATATATAAACTTGAGTCATTGCCTGTGTCTATTATATATACGATGACACGTATAACTATATTTATAAATTTTCTACCCTTAGAAATAAAGTGTGAAATTGTGTACGCTGTGGATAAACGCAGAGCACAGAGCCCAATTTTGTTTCATGAGTACTGGTGGGGGAAGTTCTTGTTGAAAATATCAATTCTGTAAGAAAAAAGATAAACCTGATTTCTAACCATTCAACCTTGTAATAGGTTAAATGATAACAAACCATTCATTGATTTTGTTTTTTTTTAAAAAAAGTAATAAACAGAAACATGTACCAATTGAAAGAGCCAGGCAATTCAATTATAATTAGGAAAACAAAAGAGATGAGCCCGAACAATGGTGCCTCCGTGTTTGGGGGATCAGTGTTGAAATGTGGAGGACATAACAATGCGGTGTCTGCTTTCTCATTTAAAGGCACCGATTCTCATCACCTCACACTTGAAAGCCGTGCACCAACTGCATAAAATACAAAGCCTCAGCTACAGGTCCAATAGACAAGCTTAAAGAAAAATAGCCCACAAACATTGACACAAGTACAATGAATGTATACATGTATATATACAGAATAAAATTTTAAAATATTTTACATTCATTGTAAAATCTACCTATCTATCCACTGATCCATTCATCCATCTATCTCATAAATATGTTTGGAGCTCTTAATATGTTTTAAGCGCTATGATATGAACATATTCTTTGGAGATACATGGTGTTGGTGCAAATGACCCCCCCACCCAAATAATTCTTTCCCTTTAGTTTTAGAAACTGTTGCTTAAACTTCCCTTGTGGGAACACAAGGAGCTATGCTGTATTGCTGAAGAACAGCTATAGACAGACAAGGACAGCTCAACATACCTTTTGTAGCCAGACGCACACAGTTGATTTTTGTCTCCTGGGAACAACAAAAAGAATGAGACAGTAGTTAATTAATTGTTGATTATATAAGGATTATTCTATAAAAACACTTGGGATTTGTACATATACATATGTATGTACATGTATTTAATTATAATTTAAAATTTGTCCTTTCCACTTTTCCCCTATCGGGATCACCTTTTAATCTCACTTATTTCCTCTCAGGCTTAGAACATATGCTGTTGTGTTTGTTTCATGGCGCCTACTACCTCATCAACCTTTGCATCAGACAGAACTACTTTATAAGTATTCCAACACCTGGGAAATTTAGCAGTGTTCAGTGGTTATATGATAGTGTACACAGTGCTTTTTTCCTCAGGTATGAATTAGCATAAGGAACCAGCCTTCCTTGGGAAACTTTGTTATAACCAGCAATATGTCTACCTAGACAGACTGAATGAACACTTGATAAAAGTCAAGGTTGTGTAAGATGTGTTATGAATCAAAAAGTTTATGTTCCAAAAAGATGATTTGATCCTGAGATTTTTGATGCTTTCATAGTCTTTATAATTAAAGCTAAAAGTTCTCTCTCTCTCTCTCTCTCTCTCTCTCTCTCTCTCTCTCTCTCTGTGTGTGTGTGTGTGTGTGTGTGTGTGTTGGGTCTTTGTCCCCTTTTCCGTATGTGTGTGTACATGTGCCTGTCTGTCTATCCGTGTGCCCATTAGTCTGTATATAAAATCTTTACTGGGTGAACCATTAGCTGTTTCCCAAGAGAAAAGGTCCCCCATAAATCTGTGACATTGCTGGCATACTATGGAGTTTCAGCAAAATGTGCTCATAAGGACAATTATCTTGGCCCTTTATTACCAGAACTCATTTGCCAGGATGTCCTGGAACCAGTAGAAATCCCATTGGACCAAATTACAATGTGAAGATAATGCAGCAAAGAAAGAAAAAACAGGGAATGCAAAGGTGTGAGATGCCAAACCAATATCTGTCAAGAGCCCAGAGCTTATTATAGGACCCACACTGTCTTGAAGGTATTTGGGTCCATCGGGTTAGAAAGATTGGATTGCAGTAATAAACCCCAGACTTCCATGGACAGAAACACCAAAGGGTTATTCTCTACTCAGACTACCAGGCCCACATAGGTATATGGCTGGGTCTGAGGCATGGGGGTGGAGTGGCATGTAAATTACTTATTTACTCTGAGAGATAAACATAACTGCTCAATTTATTTTATCCCAAAAGGAACAGGCAAACTCTAGAAATCAAAAGCTTTCTGTCGGAAGTGGCACTCTCAACACACTCCTGCTTCATTGGCCAGAGCTAATCATCAGGCCACACCCAGTTTCAGTGAGGAAGGGAAATGGAATCTTCCACTCAGGAGCAGAGAAGAAATGGCAATGTTGCCAGCCCAGACTAATCCATCTATGCAGGCTCCTAACTGCTATAACTGGTTTCTTTCACTAGATTACGTACAACTCCCAGTAATTAAGTTCTGCTTTCCCAACTCTAGCTCCTGGCTGCACAGAGTGATTATCTTTGCTTACAGAGGAAAAGGATGGGATACTGATAGTTGTCAGATCAAAATGTTCTTTGTCAGCAAATGGGAGATGGCTGAAGGGGAGGGGAGAGAAAGGAAGGGTAGCCGAGAAAAATGTAGAGGTCAATAAAAATCAATAATAAATAAATAATAATAAAAAGTTAAGAGTTCAAGTCTTCTGAGCACCTTTGCTACTCATCCTGGGACACCTTCTCTTCTGTGTCTCTTGGTGTGCAATGATGAGAACAGGAGGGCACAATCTTTATTAGGCCTTGTCCACATATATCATTACCTAGACTATAGCTATTTTAATTACTAATAGTGAGCTTCTAGTAACATAGCCAAGGTATAGAATCATATTTACCACTGTGGGCTCTATCTTTATTGATATGATCCTAATGACCTATCCTATTTGTCTCACAATTTTTTAGAAAACACTTTTCTAACATTTCGTCCAAATTATTAGCCAGGGTAAGCAGGAGAATGCTCGTGGTAGAGCTCCGGGGCAGACGCTACAAGCTTCTATCCTGACAGACATTCACTTGTACATCAGAGTCTTTCAGTTAACCAGTTACTAGTTCCTCTGACTGCTCAAGCCTTCTGAGTTCTTAAATAGCTCAAGTGCTCATTCTTTGTAACTTATGCATAGTAGAGGCTCGAGATGATGGTCAAGTTCATTATAAATAGAGCTCCTCCGCCTACTGCATTTGTCTAACCTATCATTCTGAGGTGCCTCTTAAAGGAAGCAGGTTGGGTTGGCCCAATTTGTTCTTTGGAATGAGCATTTTTTTTCCATTATGAAAATGTCCCTGAAAAAAAAACCATGTATTTTATAGGATAAAAACCATAAATGTTAAACAGTTCAGCAAATTATGGTTCAAATATTTGACGTATTCTTTTTAGGATTACACAGGAAAATTGAACCTTGTTATATTTCAAATAAAAGGTTATTTTAAATTAAAGAATATATCCAGAAGACAGAAAGAAAAATGATCAAAAAGACATGCAAAAAATAGAACTGATATTCCAAAGACTAAAGTCACAGATAAGTTAAAATGTGTACATGATGTGAAATGCACAAACTAATAGTTTGCTTTTCATATTTGGAGAGAGAGAGAGAAAGAGAGAGAGAAAGAGAGAGAGAGAGAGAGAGAGAGAGAGAGAGAGAGAGAGAGAAAGGTTCCTAGATTTCCACTGGTTTTCAGTTCTGTGCTTAGTTTAAAGGGCCTGAGACAGTTTGAGAAAATGTGACCCTCAGAAAACTGAAGCCCTCTAAATGGTGGTGTCGCACTGACCACCCCTGGGCACCTGGAAAGAGGGAGAGGTATAAGCTATGAATCAGGGGCTCATCAACTTAACATCAGTGCAAAGGAAAAGGAGTTGGAAAACATTGTATGAGAAAACTTGACTTTTTATTCATGGCAGTTGTGAATAACAGTGGGCAAGAGCTGGATGAAGCCTTGGCTGTTGGAGTAATTTGAAAATATAGTCATCCTTTGGTATCCAAGATAGAACCCCCATGGATACAAAACCACAGATGTTCAAGTTCCTTAGTGTGTCCTCCAAATCCATGATTCTGCATTTGTGAACACAGGCAGAAGACTGACTGTACTTAACTAAAGAGATTCAATCCAATCTTTCTGATCTAAGAAGCTGCTCTCACAGAATAACCTTGAACATAGAAAACAGACTTCCGACTAAACATGTTGGATCCAGAGTGAAAATTAAGAAAGATATGTTTGTCTAACTATACAAAAACCGTGAAGGAAGTGATGGCACATTAACACAGCAGAACATGAAGACGTTATTGTAGCTAAAGTGATTGTGAGGGCCATGTAACTACATAGAACTGTAAGCATATGAAATATTAAGTGAGGGGCTGGAGCGACGGCTCAGTGCTTTAAAGTACCTGCTGCCCTTGCAGAGGATCTAGGTTAAGTTCCCAGCATCCACACAGGAGCTCACAATGACCTTAACTCAAGTACCAAGGGATCCAGTGCTCTCTTCTGGTTACAGAGGGCATCAGGCATACATGTGGTGCACAAACACACATGCATGCAAAACATTCATAACACAAAATAAAAATTTAACAAGAAAATATTAAACGAATAAGCAAAGCACGGTTGTTGCTCTAACTAATGGGTAATTCTAAGCATGAAGAGAGGTCCTGAAGGGCATGTAATTGTTGCACTGTTAATTAGATGTGACAGACAAAAATACATCTTAAATACACATCTTAAAAACAATCTGACAAATTTTTCAAAGGTAAGCATAAAATTGTGACAAGCACCCAAGTCTAAAAAGACCCAGCACCACCAGCATCTCAGATGTCTCTTCCAGGCTCCTTCTCAGCACTTCCTTTCTTCAAAAGGACAGCTTAACCTGCCATCTGTGGGAATTTTTTTAAAGTGTGTGTCCACATGACTGGAACTCTTGGGTAGCTACAAGAGTTTATTCCATCACTTACTCCTGCTCCCTGTATCACTGGTAAGACTTCCTAACTTGATCTAAAATCGCCTGCCCCTTCATGGCTTCAAGTGTTTCCTAACACCACACCTTCAACTCCGCACTTGGCAAAGTCTGTTTTCTACACGGCAGAGTGCATGTCTGGGTGCATTAAGTCTTCCTGATGTTCACAAACATGAAGCTGACATGTTCACTTTTTCCTATGTTCCTGACAGCTTTAATTCCATAAGCAATTTGTCTTGGTTGGTTAGAATTAGGTAAGGAATCACAAAGCCCTGAGTCACTCCCTTGACCTTCTGGTTGATTGGATTGTCAGCAAGCAAATCGGAGCCCTGCTGGACACTGTAAATTCTATTACATGGGCCGTCTGGCCAGTGTGCATATGTCTAGAGTCCCGATCAGATTAACAAGAAGGAAGTGCTTTCTTTGTGCTCAGATTGTGTTAAAACTTCAAGGGTATAGTATTTTCTGTTCTATCTCTATCATATCTTTCTCAGGGTCTACAATCTGCATTGGAGCAACACACATTACTTTCTCATCTTTTAAACCTTGCTCATGTCCTCCTTCCTGTCATAGACTTGACAGTCTTCACACAGGTGCATGTCTCCTTGTAGTAGAACCTATAATAACAACCTCACTTTGGTACTTCTGTTGGGACTTCCCCTCTACTCCCGGCTCTGCCAGAGTTGTGCAAGACTGAGCCAGTCACCTTCTCTCTCTGTGACTCTGTCTCCCATAATCAAATGACAGAGGAAAAGACTCCTTTTGTGGAGAAGCTGGATCATCCTGAGGACATTATCAAACATGGAATCTGGTCTTAACTACCGGTACCACTCTTGCCTTTCCAGCATTCTGTCTTCTTGATTCTTGATACCATTCTATTGTACATTGCCTTATGCAAGTCAGTTTTACATTATTACCTACATTATGTCTACAAATGCCTTTTATCATAAGCCAGGTCTGACTTACCCAATAGTGCACTCAGCCATCCTTTAACAATTATTGCAATTGTCAAATGTCTCTTT